TTTATGGTATGCTATATTTATAAGTGCTCAATATCAAAAACAGAGCGTATGCAAATATAAAAGTGGACATTGAAGTCAACACCAAGTGGCGACAGTCTGGCTTGAAGATTGTGTTTATTATGAAACAGATTGTCGTCTCTGGATCTCTTCAATGCCCTATTCATACACATATATATATATATATATATATATATATATATATATATATATATATATATATATATATGTGTGTGTGTGTGTGTGTGTGTGTGTGTGTGTGTGTGTGTGTGTGTGTGAAAATATATAGAAAATAGGAAAGAACTCGTTAGGTAAATAATCCAAAGTTCTTTAGTATTTTTGTTATTATTTTTAAAAAATAGTGCTCGATACAAAAGTAGAGCATAAATATAATTATTTATTTAAAAATACGATTCCAACACGCTACATAAGAGTTCTCATGTTTCAAAACAAGAGCCGAAAACTTCAATATAATTATTTGAATTAAATTGAATTAAAGTAAGCTCTGTTCCATCTTCAAGCGAATTTTTTTTTTTTTTTTTGGAATAACTTATTTCTGAAATTTATGTGTTTTAATAGCATATTCATTAGTGAAATCAAAATTTCTATGGTAACGGCTAGAGCAATTGTTTAAATAAAAAGGGGTGTAAGGTGTTAATAATTTGTATCAGTATAAAGTTACATTCACAGATGACAAGTCAGGGTAAGGTTGGGGTGTCTAACTTTAAAAATAATTCAAATGACACGTGGATTTCTTGTTTTTTTCTTAGAACGTTTCGGAAAGGTTTCTGTTTTCTTTCCTTTTTTTCTTTCCTTTCTTCCTTCCTTACATAACTTCCTTTACATTTCTTTCTTTCCTTCTTTCTTTCTTTCTTTCTTTCTTCAGTAATTCTTTTCTTCCTCTATTTCTTTCTTTCTTTCTTTCTTTCTTTCTTAATTCCTTTCTTCCTTAATTTTTTTCTTTCTTTCTTCTTCATTTTCTTTCTTTATTTTACTGTCTTCCTAATTTCTTTTGTATTTCCTCTTTTTCTTTTATTCTTTCTTCCTTTCCGTTTTTCTTTCTTCTATAAACCCTTTCTTCCTTTTTTCTTCCTTTTTTCTTCTTTTCTTGCTTTTTTCTTCCTTTCTTCATTTTTTCCTTTCTTTGTTTTTTTCTGTCTTTTTTTGTTTCTTTCTTCCATTTTTTCTTTCTTTCTATCTTACTTTCTTTCCTTCTTCCATAATATCTTTCTTCATTTTTTTTCTTCCATTCTTACTTCTTTCCTTTCTTTGCCTTGCTATGTCTGCTTTTTTCTTATATCTCAACTTCTCTCTTTTTCTCTTATTTTAAAGTCTTTCTTTTTTCCCCCCCTTTATTTTCATGTCGGCCTTTTTTTATTATTTTTCAGCCTTTATTCATTTACTGATTTATCAACCTTTTGTTACACATTCTTTTTCAGCCTTTATTTTGTTTCTGTCATTTTTCAGCCCATCTCTTCCCTCTTATCGTTCTCTTTCTATATCCTTTATTCTAGGTGTTTTTTGCCCTTATTTTTTGTTAATTTTTTTTTCTTTTTTCATTTACGTTTCCGCTAGTCTTTTTTTTCTCATTTATTAGAAGTTCGTTGCCCTCATTTTTCTCAGACTTCTTTTATTTCATTATTATATATCAGCCTTTCTGTTTCCGTTATTTTTCGTCCTATCCCTCTTTATTTGCTTATTTCTCTGCCTATTTTCAGGTGTTTTTTTTTCTCTAATTTCTTTTTAATTCTTTTTTATTCTGTTATATTTGTTCTTTTTCAAAAAGAATAGAAGATCGCCAAACTGACATCTCCCCTAACTCACTTTGCACCAATCAACAACTCTCTCATGAAATTGTCCGAATAAATATATTCTTATCGCAGGCTATTGAAAATTAGCTTGTTTATTTAAAAAGGGTTGAACAATTAGAGCCAGGAATAAAAGATGTCAACGCCGCTCCCCACAGACGTCTTTTATTTACTGCTTCTAGAAAAAAAAACTAAAACAAATCCACATGAGTTAATAAAGTATTTACTGTTAATTTATTGTACTTTAAATAATGTCTTACTCTATATTACTTATTAATAACTTCTGACCTTGGACAAATCCTTATGTGTCTTTTTCAATATCTATTCAGTCAAACTCGTTAGGTAGGATACACTGTTTACAGCTTAGCCTTTAGTTTTCAATATGTCATATGAGTGTTAAATTCTCCACGTCGTATTTTCGTTATGTGTACCAGAATTTCAACTCTGTATTGATGATTTCGTTTTTTTTTTTTTTTGTTTTTTTTTTTTGTTGTTGTTGATTTTTTTATGCATTTTGAACTCATCAATAAAGCATATTTCGTTTCGTTTCGGTAATGTAGATCTTTATTTGTTCAGTTAAAAATTTTCTTTTGATGATGGCGAATTACTAATGAAACCTATTCAATATCTATGTTTTGATATCGTCACGGATTTCAATCAATATATTGCAAAACAATGCTCATGGTTAAAATTAAGAAATATAAAAATTTATAATTTTAATATAATATAATATTATAATATTATATCAAACATAAATTTAATTTAATTTATTATTAAACATGCATCTAATTTCAGTTAATATTAAACTTGCATTTACTTTAATAATAAACGAGCATATAATATCGTTTGCCATGAAATATGCATTTAATATCATTTAATGCTATACATGCATTTAATTTAATATTGACATACATATAATTTCGTTTAATATTAAACTTGTATTTAATACCATTTGATATTAAACATGAATTAAATATAAATTAATATTAAACATGCATTTAATTTTACTTAATATTAAACATACATTTAATTTGATTTAATATTTAATTTAAACCGATAATATTCTATTCAGATAATAACCTATATTTTTTTTTTAATTTTAATCATTAACGTTCTTTTGTAATTCAATAAACATTGCATTTTTCTCATTTAAAGAGTGAATACATTTTATGGTAGACCCAATATATATATATATATATATATATATATATATATATATATACCAACGGACTACTACCAGTATATATATATATATATATATATTATATTATATACCAACGGACTACTACCAGTATATATATATATATATATATATATATATATATATATATATATATATATATATACTGGTAGTAGTCCGTTGGTATATAATATAATCCACATGAATCCTATTAACACCATATAAAATATGAAATATTAAAACAAATTCACACATAGAGTTCAATGTTTTTATAATAAATAGAGCAATATATTTCATACAATCGGAATTATGTTACCATTTTCCCCCCTGATTTTCTTCCTTTTTTCCTCTCCCTTGTCTGTTTTTTTATTTAAAAAATTTATCATCCATTGACTGATTGAAAATCCTGTAAATTTAATTTTACAAGGTGAAAATGATCATTCATATAATGGTATCTCAATTCCGATAGTATGGTATATATATATATATATATATATATATATATATATATATATATATATGTTGATCTTAGCATCACGGAAAGGTATGACATAAGTAGAAAAAGTACTTTCATCAAGTATGAATTATTAGCCACTAGCAGCATGGCCCGGCGTTGCCCGTCCTTGATTCAAAAATCGTACGACTCATACAGCAATCGCTATCACTTGACTTAAAATATTTTTGCCATTCCTTGCCTTTAAAGAAGTGCCCTTTTTCCGTGCTGATGTTGCTACATGCCTTACTTCTTGCCTATCTCACACTGCGAATTTTTTCTAAGCTCTATACTAAACATTAAATCTGTTACGAAAAAAGAACTAAACAAAATGAACACAAAACGATCAGCTTTAAAAAAGGACTCGTAACTGGAAAAACCGAATGAAAAAAAAATATTAACAACAAATACTTTTTCACACCCAACCCAGTTCTGCGGAATCAGAATCAACGTTGAGTTTAAGCAAGCGAATGAGCCAATTGGAGTAAAGTGCCGTGCAGATTTAAATTTTTCCCACTTGTGACGAATGCAGCTATCGATTTTTTTGTTTGCATGCTAGCATGCTAGTTAATATTCGTGTCAGTCAGCTGTTGGCTCTCACGCTGGCCAACAGAATATTCCTGCCTACTCTGGACAGTAGAAAATGGCCGCAAACTACATGAAAACTGCCATATAAGCATGAAAAAATCGATTATTTCCACTATCGATGGGAGTTGCGAAATGCAAAGTCGGTCTTGGCCTTCCCAGTAACTTGGAGCATGTGCATGTAAATTTTGGTGCAAATCCGTCGAAAATTGCGGCCGTGCATTCGTTACACACACACACACATCCGGCCTTTTATAGATAGAGATATTACATTATTATATATATATATATATATATATATATATATATATATATATATATATATATATATATATATATTCAAGAATGTGTTTGGTTAAATAATTTAGACGTATTATGTCTATTTTTATTTTAATCCTTTCAAGTACACGGATTAATTTCTTGATTGCTGTAGAATTGTTCAAGAAAATTCCTAAATTTTCTTTCAAATAAATTTTATTTTCCCAAATATTTACAGTTTTGTCCAAGATCAACTTCAGGTGTTGAATTTCTGTGGATATGTGCATGAACTCCGCAAAATTCAAAGTATTTAACCGTTATGCAGGGGAGATAACTTATTTGTTTTTTGGGACTATATTTTTGGACATGATCACCGTAAGATTCAAAATCTTTACCAGTCATGCATGGGAAGTAATTTATGCGATTTTTTAGAGTGTATTTTTATTGGTTTAAAAGATTTGTTTAAAGTTGTAGTTTTTGATAATTAGAATTTAGAATTTTAAAACAAAACTTTGCTTTTGAAGATCATATTTTTCAGACTAAACACATCGAAGCAAGAAACTGGCAGACACTATGCAGTGTTGAGTCCTACAACCACACACGTTTAAACCTTGCCTCAGTAAATCGATTCAAAGTATTCAACACTAAATTATTGCTATGATTATTATAATTGGAGTCTTACAGCCATATCCCCTTGAAACACAGGTTCCTGTATGATCACTGAAGTTAAGCATCGTCGAGTATGGTTAGTAGCTAGATGGGTAACGGCTTGGAAATACCAGGTACTGTAAGCTTGGATGTGCGGCTGGTGTAATGGATGGTGGTTTTGGAATTGTTAATCGGAGAGCCGAGTTCCAATTCCAGTTGGGTTCGTTATATTCGTTATGAATGCACCTCTTCTCTCCCCAACTATGGGGTAATTACTAGGATTTGTATCAGTAAATCATTATTATCTAAAAAAAAAATAAACATTCTAATAATTTAAAATATTTCTCTGGCTTTAAATAACCTACAAAGGGTCGATAAGACGTGGAAACGAGGCAAGCACCATTTCTATTTTAACTCGTTTTTTTTTTAATCCTGGGACCAGTAGGGTTGTAGGATCACCAGCCACAGTAGAAGTGGTGTTTCTTGGGTAAGATAGCCTGAAGGAACCCAACCAGGACTATAGTTACAGAGAACGCAGTATGGTTCCACCGGAATATGTGAGCCAGCGGCGCTATGTTGAGTCTGATTTGCAATCTCTTTGTCACCGAGGCCCATTAGAACAGTTGGTATGATGGTATGACAACCTAATTGTCAGGGTTTCAATTCTCGGTAGTGGATGCGCACTGCTGATGAGTCCAAAATATAGGACGAAACGGCCGTCCAGTGCATTCTGCATTCTGTTGAGGCTTCTATCAGACTCGATGAGTTATATATATATATATATATATATATATATATATATATATATATATATATATATATATAGAGAGAGAGAGAGAGAGTATAATAGGAATTAAGATTACTTTAGGTTAATGATCATTTTCATCTTGTAAATTGAAATAAAATTTACAAAGATTTTTCAAACTAGTCAATGGATGATGAAATATTTAGATAAAACAGTCTTATTTCAATAATTTATAACCCATTAACAGTTTTGAAAAATCCTTGTAAATTTCATTTCAATTTACAAGATGAAAATGATCATCAACCCAATGTTACCTTAATTGCTATTGTATAAAAATATGTTGTTCTGTTTGATTAAAACATTCAGCTCTCTGTGTGAATAAGTTTAAATATTTAATATTTTATATTGTATTAATAGGATTCATTTGGATTATATACCAACCGATTATTATATATATATATATATATATATATATATATATACAAGCCTGTTTTGGTATATCATAGCGAATGCATAAAAAAAAATCCCAGCTGGACTGGGGCTGCAGAAACACAAAGAACTGCAATGGGTGACCGATAAAGGTCAATGAGAAATATTTTTAGCATAAAATTCAACCGACAGAACTCGCTGTTCGGTCAATGAATGAGAAGTAATTCCTAATATTAAACAAATATTACCATGAGAGATAAAAAAAAAACAGATACTACACTACACTCGGTCCCCCATCCCACAATGACAGAATATGGCACATGACCGATTTAAAGTGGGGAGCAGATGCACATGCATATTAGCCAAGTCCCACAGTTGCCCAGACCCCGTAACCAACGTCGCGCTGAGGGAGTTGCTGCAGTAGGGTTGGGATCCTTGTGACGAGACATCCCTCATTTATTTGTTGTGTCCTGTCCGAATTGAAAGAGAAAATGTAGTTTGGCGATACTACACTTTGATCCCAGAACGATATCCAGTGAGTGTAAAAATATAACTCGAGTATCACTAGCTAGTGGGTCGATGCCTGATGAATATTTCCATATAAGGAAACGGGTAGCATTCTTCTCTCTCTCTCTCTCTCTCTCTCTCTCTCTCTATATATATATATATATATATATATATATATATATATATATATATATATATATATATATATATATATATATAGAGAGAGAGAGAGAGGGAATCTAAATGAAATAATAATAAAAACGAAAGAATATTAGTATACAACCCAGTGTGTCTGAAGAATTGTTCAAATTATATATATATATATATATATATATATATATACGGATAGCATTGCTATTACTATCACCTTTCTCTCTCTCTCTCTCTCTCTATATATATATATATATATATATATATATATATGTCAACAAATATGGATCAAAATTCAACAGAAAGATAGAACAATGAACAAATAGAAAATATAAATTTTGCATGAATTTAAGTTTAGCTGTCTCTCTCTTTATCTTATTTATATGTATTGATCTTCCAATATATATATATATATATATGTGTGTGTGTGTGTGTGTGTTTGTGTGTGTGTGTGTGTGTGTGTTAATTTGAGTTTAAAATAAATGATCTTTCCTTCCAATCTATCTCTGCTAATCTATCATTTCATCTGTTATTATTTATATCCATCATGTACAATTCAATTTCAATTACGTAGGGTAGTTGGAATGTGTGTCAATACATATATGTGTGTGTGTGTGTGTGTGTGTGCGCGCGTGATATATGTCTATTATCTATTAGTTCCGTGATAAGAATCAAAGAAAAGGAAAGGGGGGATTGTGCCCCATTCTTTGGACAGAAGCCGAAGCGTGTAATGACAAATAAAGCGGTGGAAGTTCGGCCTGAATTTTCTGTTGTGAGTAAATTGCTTCCTTCTTTCTGCCGTCGGCAAAATATTCGCGCTGAGAATTGAGAAGCCGTTCAACATCTGAAGAGCCTTAAGATGTTTGCATCACGAGAAACATCACTTGATGTCATTCTCTTTATTTAAGATTCCATCACGTTCTCTACTCCGGCGACAGAGGTGAAAAGGTTCGTGTGATTAAAAATCAATACATGAGGATGGATGTAAACCTTCTCACTCGCACCACACACACGCACATACGCACGCACGCACGCACGCACATATATATATATATATATATATATGCAAAAATAAATGAGCATACTCGGATAAATATCTGTCTATATTTCTGAGATATTATGTACACTATTTACACTATTCGGACTATCGTCCTTATCTTTGTCGCCATATTTATTATAAGGTTTCGGCTGTTGTACGCTCCGGCCTTCTTCAGGTGTTTGGAATGTCGAACTGAACTCTTTATTTCGCTCACTAGGGTAGACTGTTCTAGTTCCATGTGTCATGTTTAATTGATATCAGTTATCATTGATCTCCTGTTAATTCCCCTCTCCAAGTTCTCCACTGCCTTAACCGGGTATTGAACTCACACTCTTTGGGTCTTGTCACTGGATGCAACTAACACCTTTATCCACTGTGTCAGGTATCCTTGAGGACGATAGTCTGAATAATGTAAATAGTGTCGGATAAATATGCTTATATATCTAAGATACGATACCGGTGATATCTTTTAAAATTAAGGACATTTCAGTTATTGAAAGGTTTAGCTTCGGTTAGACATCAACAACAAAAAATGTTCTCCGGGTACTTTCGAATGTTGCTACATTCATTGTCAAGGATTGCTATGTGTATATTGGCGCAATTATTTTTTGTTTAATTCCAGCTTTCTTACGTTTGATGAAATCAATTTCAAGTCACTCGAGACGACGTCATATAAACCAGGGGTCGGCTATGTACGGCTCGTGTGCCATACGTGACACTAAAAGCAATTTCTAATGGCACACAGCTGTAAATGTCATCACGGAGTCCGAACCAATAGCTACTGCGACGCAAAGTAGATATTTAGCTATTTCAATTTTGATATATATTAAATTTTGATATATATATATATATAACATACAACGTATGTTAGCACGTGCGATACCCTGTCTTCATCAGCCGCCGACCAGGGGTGATATCACGGTTTCAGTGGCTATGGAGGGCCCACCACCCCTGGCGCTACCAGCAGCGTTCGCCACCCACCAGGCAGGGTATGAAGATAAGCTAATTGATAGTTCCTCTTTGTAAATTCTCGTAATGAAATAAACAGAACGATTGTTCCACTTTGCAGCTTCTAGATATTTATTATGTAAAAATTACATAATTGTGGCAGAAGGCCGAAAAAGGGGAGGGGTTAAGGCTGGTCTACACTAACTATCTTTTACCTAACTAATCCGATTCACGACCCATTCACTCATTACTATTTACCCATTCACCACAAGAACTCGTCCATCACCAATCCATCCTCCATGCACCATAATACCACATCGTCTCTAGGCGGAACTACGCTCCATGCCATAAAAATTTAATGATAGTAAAATATATATAAAATCTGTGATGAAAAAATGAGAGGGGAGGTAGATGAACCCAGTAACAAACTTAAATATTAACACAAATCAAATTAAACATAACTGATGGTAGTAGGGCCCGTCCAACCCTCAAAAAGGAGAGGCCGCTGTATTCTGCCCATGGGTCAAAATGAAGAACCTCTCTCACTACGGGTGTGGGAAAAGGATAAATCATAACACGGGCATGGGAAAATAAAAAGCTGACCCAGTCGAGATGAGAAAGGCGGGCCAAAGGGGCGGAGAATCTCGACATGAATCATACCGAAAGAGGCAGCCGGGAACAGGCCAGGAACAACACTTACTCACATTAACTAGGTACACTAAGGCTTATCTAACCTAACCAATGGGAGGGATCCGCAGGAAACCATCCCGATGTGAGGTAGATTGACCTAAAAGAGAAAATCAAGGCTATCCCTGTTTACACGAACCAAGCTCGCCTCAGTCACCCACCTTTCGCTGAAGACTGTCGAATGCAAGCGTTTTCTATCAGTTCTAATCTTCATCTTGAGCTGATGCTCAAAGAATCGGATCAGATCCTGATAAGAAAGACGGTTGCCTCGCAAGACTTCCTCCTGTCGCGTCGTCCAAATCACCATTCGGACCGTGGCCAGCATCGTAAGAAACACCATCTGTTTCACCCCAGAATACGAGGGCGACACATTGTCACACGCGTATGCGCGATCAATGAGCACAAGTTTTTCGGGGGCGAGACGAGCCGTCAAATCGCCGACATGTTCCCATAAGGGGCGGACACGGGGACAATGGTAGAAGGCGTGCGAAGCCGTTTCTTCCAGACCAAGGCCACACCGATCACAGTCTGGCAAATCCGCCAAACCCCATATGAAGACCTTGTCATTGAAAGGTAGCCGATTCCGAACCAATCGTCAGGTAAGCGAAAACTCAGAGTTACTGAGATAATCCGCCGATG